CTGTTACTAATTAACTAATTAACCCAGGTTTCTGCCTGGGTGCAGGGCTTGCTTCAGTGTAAATCCTTTCGTAAAAGAAAAGATTGACACGAAAATGAGATGAAGAGAATCCTTATCTGTGCTCTCTCTTTAGACACATTATGATAGAATTGCTTTAAGGGTTCTCAAAATATTTGGACCCAAGCTTGGGAAAAACTGGTATATTTGCTCCTGAAGCTAAAGCTTTTTCCTAGAGATGCTTATACTCTGGTAATTCATCAGAATCTTGATTTCTTAGCAGTGGATTTAAATAACCAGAACAATTCACATGTCTTTGGGTTGGGGTCATAGTGGCATCTTGGCTTCTTTAGTAAATAAACTTGATGACAGAATGCCTAAGCTCCAGCAGTTGGAGCCCTGGTTGGTAATACTTACCTAGCACCATGACCTTAAAGAAAGCACACCCCCTAGTTCTTTGGCCAGTTAACATTGGCTTGCCTCACAGATGTCATTAGAAAGATCATTCTTGTCCTATCAAACCATTCCTCCTTTTACCTTCAGCTCCCAAACCCCAAAGTAATATAAAATCTTATAAATTTGTATTGCTTGGAAAATGATATATACATTAGTGGAAAACAAAATATTTATTGATAATTTTGTAGTTTAAAGTATGCACAATACATTGGGAATTAACTCACAAAGCCTTATGACGAGGTCTTTGGAGAACTTAGATTATAAATCATAAGAGTATTTCACAATTGACTTGTCTGTTTTTATATATCAATAGTGCTTCCTTGTTTCTGAGATTGAGGTGGGGGAGGGATGGTTTAAAACCTTTGACTGCTACTGTCTCTCCAGATCATATCACCACCAACTTTCGTGTGAGAGAAGGTGTGGGCAAGCATTGTAGTTTGGATATTTTATCTGGCATTTATTTACCTTTCCTGCTTTCCCAAAATTTAGTTAGAGAAACTAGTAATTTGAATCATGACCTGTGTGAAAAACAACAGAATACATTTCTAGCAGCAGACCTTGGCAAACTGAGGAGAAATGGACAGTTGGGCCACATTTACTGACTTTTGTCAATGTCTGACCTTCAGATTATGGATTTTATAAATGGAAGGCTGACTAGCCTGTATGGAAAGTAGGTTGCTGAGATAGCAGGGACTATTGGGGCACCATTTCTGTTTGTGTTGCATTAGTAAGGTAACAGGAAAAGCTTTTCTGAGGGATCTGTAGGTAATATAAGCCTTAGGAATTGTATTCTGCCACAAATAACCTCTAAAATGAGAGTGAAGCAAAAGCTGGACATTGAGACTCATTTAGTAAGTTGGGTTTTGTTTCAGAATCTATGGGTAGATAACATGATCTGTGTAGTTACCACTGTCCTGTCCTTAGACTGCTATGATAGGTACCTTACTAAAGAAACACAAGCATGTGCAATATGGTGAGCTGACACTTTAAGGTTTACACTTCTGAAACATAGGCTTTCTTTTAAAAATTCTTTCAAAAATTTTTTTTTAGGAGAGACCCACTGTATTACCACCCCTAACTATTTTTTAAAATAAAATTACAACCATAAGACTGTTTTTGAATCCCCCTTCTTCCTTACATACTAATTGTTGTTTAATGTTTCTTTCTTTAAATGTTAGCACAAAAGGCCAAATGGTGTACTAGTTGACTTGTAAATAATACAGTGACATACCTGTGAAGAAAAGATTAGAATCAGGAAACTCAATTTCAGTTTGTTCTTATAGACACTAGCTGTGTGACCTTGTGTAAGTTATTTAATATCTCAGCGTGAGCCTTCCTGTATAAGATGAGGGCACTGATACACCAACTTTGAAAGATTCTTAGGAGGATTAGAAGTAATGAATCTAAAACTTAGGGTCAAAAATTGAAATGCCCTTATTTCTTCACCCTTCCTCTTAGGGACCTGGTCTCATAGGCTGTCTCCACAATCTTTCCCCATTCTGTGGTTCTACTCCAAGATGTGGGTGTTCTGACCACATGTCTGTACAGAAGCTTAACATCTGTCTCCAGATTTTAATCAACCGTAGTTTGTAATTGAACAAGTTATAGAATATATTGCTTGAGTTTAGAGTTATAGTAATAAATACCCCTTAGAAAATCCATATATGGTATTTTGGAATTCTGTAAAGTGTTTCATCTTTTTGTCTCATTTGATGTGGAACTGGTAAAACTAAAAATACATTTTAAAAATATTGCTTCCTAAATGTTTTTTAGGAGGGCGGGATACATGGGTACTTCTGGCTGGTCGCTTTTGTTAATTCTGGGTGCTGGTGTTAACTCCTTCCATAATCCAGAGCAAAGGGGACTGGCCAGAGTGGAAGCTATGCCCACATTGCCCCAACATACCCTCAAGGAGCGTGAGCTTAAATTTTTGTTTACTCTGTCCAATCATCTGAATACTCACTAATGGAAACACCTTGCACTTGCCTGCTTTTTGAATCCTATAGAATGAGTTTTAAGAGCATGCTTCATACCTATTTCAAAGAGAAAGTGTTTTACTTTTTAAAGAAATGTAATTTCTGAACCATTAATAGAGATGCCATTATTCTTAGAAACCATAAGAGTAAAAGGGAAGCAGAATATATAGTCTCCTGGCAACATTTGTTTCATCAGATACTCAGCATGTTGCCTGTTTTCTTCTCTCAGATGCATCTTTATTGCAGTCGTAGAAATGCCGAGATACCAACTGATGACCCATGGTTGCTAATGCTGATTGCCCAGCCTGAAACGCAGTCCCTTCTTGCCTGGGAAAATACATGGGAAACACTGAGAATTTGGGGTTATTTACTTATAGTAAAATCTTGCTGACTTTCTATGTTTTAAAAACATTCTGGTAGAACACATGTATTTGTATCTTCTATATAAATACAGTTGGTGATTGCCAATTTTTTTAAAATGATAACTTTTAGGATTGTTTATATTTAATAATGCAGCTTCAGCCAATATCTTTTATCTTTAACTTGCAAATAAAAACTCATCTGGCCTGCAGGCGCTATCCCAGATGGGGAGAATGCCATCAACACCTCTCTTTTACTGCATATGAGACATTTTGCAAATTAGGATGAGCCCATACCAGGCTATGAGCCCTCTCTGCCATGGACTCTGTGCTTTGTAATAGCAGTAATAATACCCTGACTTGATAGTGTGTCTGGCTTCTGAAGTATATGTTACCATATGGTATCCTTATATCATCCCTGTCAGGGAGGGATGCTTTAGAAAATATTATGGCCATAATGAAGATGCGGAACTGAAGCTGGTGCACACAGATTAAATGATTTCATCAAGGCCACGTGGTTGGTCATTGCCAGAGATAGACTTGACTCTGGGTCATCCCTGTCAGCTGGGCCTAACAAACCAGGAGGAGGACACCTGCAAGATGGGTATAATCCTTAGGGTTTTGATGGTATTTGCTCTACTACACAGGGGTCCCCATGAGTCAGAATTAACTTGATGGCAACTGATGACAACTTTTTAAAATAAATAACCTTTTGTTTTGGAATTGTTTCAGATTTATAGAAGGTAGCAAAGATAGTAGATAGAGTTCCCCTATTCCCCACACCAAATTTCTCCTTTTGTTAACATCTTATATTGGTATGGTACATTTGTCACAGCTAATGAACTAATATTGATACATTATTATTAGCTAAAGTCTATAGGAGCTCTGGTGGTGTAGTGCCTGAGACATTTGACTGCTAACCAGAAGGCTGGCAGTTCAAACCCACCAGCCACTCATTGGAAGGATGGTTGGACAATCTACTTACATAGTGATTCTGCCTCGGAAACTCAAGGAGGAGTCACTATGAGTTGGATTCGACTCAACAGCAATGAGTTTGGTTTGGTTTTTCATATAGTTACTCAGATTTCCTCACTTTTTACCTAATGTCCTTTTTCTATTCTAGGATCCCATCCAGGATACTACATTACATTTCGTCATCATCCTCTTAACTACAGTAATTTCTCAGACCTTCCTGGTTTTCAATGACCTTCACAGTTTTGAAGAGTAACCAGACAGGCATTTTGTAGAATGTTCAAGAGTTGGGATTTGGCTGATGTTTTTCTCATGATGAGACTGGGTTTTAGAAAGAAGACTGTAGAGGGAGGTGTCCTTTTTATCACATCATATCAAGGGTTACATAGTTTCAGTATGACTTAGCACTGTTAATGTTGATCTTGATCACCTGGAGGAAGTAGTGTTTGTCAGATTTCCTCACTGTAAAGGTTTTCCCTCCTTTTCTATACTATACTCTTTGGAAGGTAGTCACTCTTTGCAGACCATACTTAAGAGGTGGGGGGTTATGCCTTGGATGAGGAATATCTGTGTAAATCATTTTTAATTCTTCTCTATGAAGAGAGTTGCTTGCTTTTCAACTCAGCAAATCCTGCTCTACCGTTTTCTTCTTATGTCTGCCGAATATCGTGCACTATGGTATAAAATCGTGGCAGGATGTGATGGCAAGTCTAAGTGAAAATTCACACCAGTTCATAGAAGTAGTTAGAAATGGGTGGAAGCTGCTTCAGTATTATTGAAGGGAAGGGACCATACTAAGTAAGATAGCCGCCGCCCCCCCCAGTGATTAATTACCCTTAGAGTGCTAAGGAAGTTTGTTGCAAAGTGCAGGGGAGGGTCTGATATAGTAGTAAATTGTAAGTGTGAACTTCAGTACAGGAAATAGAGTTAACAAAAATGCCAGCAAAACCTAGGAGTTTAGGAAGAACAGAGCTGAGAACAACTTGATGAGCTCATACATTCTGGTCACCTCCTGGATATGAAACCATCTCCCATTTCTAGGTGTGCAACCCACCATTTAATTTGTTTCATTTAATGCCAGGCCAAGGAGGGTGATGCAGGAGATTGTCCTTTTTTTTTTCAATGCCTTTGAAATTGAGGAGGTTTTGGAAAATTGAGAACGTTGGTTAACCATTTCTTCCAGTGCTCAGTTGTGGACCATCCTGGCTTATATTCCACCTTTTCCCTTCTGTTTCTGCAGAACTCGATCCGGCACAACCTGTCACTGCACAGCCGGTTCATGCGAGTCCAGAATGAGGGGACCGGCAAGAGTTCTTGGTGGATCATCAACCCTGACGGAGGAAAGAGCGGCAAGGCACCCCGGCGGCGGGCAGTCTCCATGGACAACAGCAACAAGTATACCAAGAGCCGTGGCCGTGCAGCCAAGAAGAAGGCAGCCCTGCAGACAGCCCCTGAGTCCGCAGATGACAGCCCTTCCCAGCTCTCCAAGTGGCCTGGCAGCCCCACCTCACGCAGCAGTGATGAGCTGGATGCATGGACGGATTTCCGCTCACGCACCAATTCCAATGCCAGCACGGTCAGCGGCCGCCTGTCACCCATCTTGGCAAGCACAGAGTTGGATGACGTCCAGGATGATGATGCACCTCTCTCCCCCATGCTCTACAGCAGCTCAGCCAGCCTTTCACCCTCTGTAAGCAAGCCATGCACCGTAGAGCTTCCACGGCTGACCGACATGGCGGGCACCATGAATCTGAACGACGGGCTAGCTGACAACCTCATGGACGACCTGCTGGACAACATCACACTTCCGTCATCCCAGCCATCTCCCACTGGGGGACTTATGCAGCAGAGCTCCAGCTTCCCATACACCACCAAGGGCTCCGGCCTGGGTTCTCCAACCAGCTCCTTTAATAGCACGGTGTTTGGACCTGCGTCTCTGAATTCCCTACGCCAGTCTCCCATGCAAACCATCCAAGAGAACAAGCCGGCCACTTTCTCTTCCATGTCACACTATGGCAACCAGACACTTCAGGACCTGCTCACTTCAGACTCACTCAGCCACAGTGATGTCATGATGACCCAGTCGGACCCCTTGATGTCTCAGGCCAGCACTGCTGTGTCTGCCCAGAACTCACGCCGGAACGTGATGCTTCGCAATGACCCGATGATGTCCTTTGCCGCCCAGCCCAACCAAGGGAGTTTGGTTAATCAGAACTTGCTCCACCACCAGCACCAAACCCAGGGTGCTCTTGGTGGCAGCCGTGCCTTGTCGAATTCTGTCAGCAACATGGGCTTGAGTGACTCCAGCAGCCTTGGGTCAGCCAAACACCAGCAGCAGTCTCCTGTCAGCCAGTCTATGCAAACCCTCTCGGACTCTCTCTCAGGCTCTTCTTTGTACTCAACTAGTGCAAACCTTCCCGTTATGGGCCATGAGAAGTTCCCCAGTGATTTGGACCTGGACATATTCAACGGGAGCTTGGAATGTGACATGGAGTCCATTATCCGTAGTGAACTCATGGATGCTGATGGGTTGGATTTTAACTTTGATTCCCTCATCTCCACACAGAACGTTGTTGGTTTGAACGTGGGGAACTTCACTGGTGCTAAGCAGGCCTCATCTCAGAGCTGGGTGCCAGGCTGAAGGATCACTGAGGAAAGGGGAAGTGGGCAAAGCAGGTCAGTGCCCAACTCTATGGCATAATAACAACAAAGTGGGGATGATGTTGGGAGGAGTGTGTGTGTGTGTGTGTGTGTGTGTGTGTAGGCAGTCCCAGGTTTAGGTACATTAGATTTACAAGCCAGACAATTGCTACTTGTCCTTTAATGTTCTGTAAGTTTGCCCTCACTTTGAAAAAATTGAACCAATCCCTAAAAAACAAATAAACCCACTGCCATCAAGTTGATTCCTCTTTACGGAAGTTGTTGTTGTTATGTGCCGTCGAGTCGGACCCAACTCGTAGCGACCCCTCCTTGGGTTTCCGAGGCAGTATCACTACGGAAGTAGATTGCCCCATCTTCCTTCCGGGGAGTGGCTGGTGGGTTTGAACCTCCAGCCTTCTGGTTAGCAGTCAAGTGCTTTAGCCGCTATGCTACCAGAGCCAACCTTCTGGTACCAGTCAAATACCTTAAGCACTATGGCACCAGAGCTCCTTGAACCAGCCCCTACTCCAGACAAAATCACTCTCACTTGCATGCGCAACTTTTAAGTAATTGAAAAGGCTTTAAGCTTTTTCTTGCACTAAACCAAACCCACTGCCATCAAGTGGATTCTGACTCATAGCAACTCTGTAGGACAGTGTTGGGCTGCCCCACAGGGTTTCTAGGGCTATAAATCTTTACAGAAGTAGACTGTCTCATCTTTCTCCCATGGAGTGGCTAGTGGGTTCAAATTGCTAACCTTTTGGTTAGCAGCCAAATGCTTTAACCACTGTACCACTAGAGCTCCTTTCCTTGAGCTAAAGTAAAGCTAAGTAAGAACCATAGGCACCTATTCTGACTTACCTACAGATTCAACTTACAGACACAACCCAGGGACTTACCTTTCAACTTGGTTGTACTTTGAACTTTGGTCCACAATGAGAGATTGAGAACCATAGAAAGCAGTGGTGCACAGTAACATGGCTCCCAACCTGTTCCTCTCACAGTTTCACCTGCAAATCAAGTAGGGCTGTCCAGTGCCCCTCCCCACAGTTTGCTGACAGCTCAGAAAATTTACTTCCAGTAAAAAGAACATAGTCTTAAACACATTCAGAGATTCCATTCTTCTTTGTATCCAGTCATCCTCACTGACCTTTGATGTGCGTCCCAGTCTTTATCCATCTATCCACTTGATAGATGGATGAGGATAGACGAGAAGGAGAAGAAGGGGAACTTAGGTTGCACAGACTTCAAGGTTAAGGACCCCAAGTGGAGAACTTTCTTAGACCACCTTGTCAATCTTCAGTGTTATGGTTTCTTCCATCTTTTTTCCCAGTAAAGTAATGATTTGCAGCAGGGACTCCTAATTATGTATTCTGGACTCTTTCATACATGAGTATTTCCACCAGAAGCAAGATCTGTTATTCTTTACTATAATACTAAGCATCTCTACTAGTTAGGGCTTAGAATATGACCATTTAAAAGAGCTAAGTTGAAAACACAAGTTTTTACATAAGGAAGCACTCATGCATGTGCTTCAGTTTGTTCTCTAACCTATAAATGGTGTCAGATTCCAGACACAGGGTGAGATGGATTGTGAATGGTGACTGTAATGACCAAATCAAAACTAAAATTACTGCCATTGAGTCAATTCTGATTCATAACGACCGCCTTTAAGTTTCTGAGGCAGTAAATCTTTAAGAAGTAGGTCTGCCTTCCATGGAGTAGCTGGTGGATTTGAACCACCAACCTTCTGCTTAGCAGTCAAATGCCTTAGGCACTACACCACCAGAGCTTCTTACAGTGGTGGCATTTTAATACTATTGGAAGCATAAAGATTAGGCAGTGTGATGTGGTAAGAAAAGCATTTGATTGGAATGAAGAGTGAAGGTTCATTCCCATCTCCACCACTTTCTGGCTGTTATTTAGTTGTATTACTTAATCTCTAAGCCTTAATTTCCAGTGTTTTAAAACGATAATGCTAGCTCCTGTTATTTCATCGGGTTGTTGTAAGAATCTAAAGCATTAGAAAGTGTGGTGTAAAAGTGCAGTGGGCTAAAATATATACAGTGTAATGAGGTAAGCATACTGGGCTGATAGATAGCAAGCAGAGGTTAAGTAGTTTGCCCAAGGTCACACAGCTGGACTTAGAATCTGTATTTCTTGGATGGCTTATATGAACCATAATACTCGACTAAAACCCATTGCCATTGAGTCAATTCTGACTCATAGCAACCCTAAAAGACAGATCTTTCTCCCATGGAGAGTAACTGGTGGGCTCGAACCATTGAGTTTTGGTTTGCAGCCCACCACAGTGCCACCAGAGCTTCTAGGAATCATAATCGTTCTTCCTAATTTTCTCAAGATTGTTAAAAAAAAAAAAAGAAAAAAAAGAAAGGCTCTGAACTGTAGCCAGTGTAGCAGATGTAAACAAGCTTGCCCTGAAACTTTTCTCCTCAAAACTAAGATGAACACTGGGGTCTTCTGCTAGCAGTTTGTACCTCCCAGGCACCCTCATATTAAAGGGCTCTGTTCTGTGCCCTAGCTCCCCCCCCCCTTTTTTTTTTAATCCCAGCAGGGTACTTACACCCTTCTTTAAATGGTGTAAAAGAGAAATGGAATTCAAAGCCATGAAAACCTGAGCCTTGTTTAACCCTCTCTGCCCTGGTGAAGGGGTTACCAGGGTCTCCTGTGGTGCTCTCTCTGGCTCTGCCGTTGTAGAAAGGGGAATGTTGAGAGGGCTGTAATGCTGAAGCTTCTCGGCTTTCCCAGGCATGAGAAAGCCCCGAATGGAACACAGACATCTGTTTTCAGTCATTTAATAGCTCTTGAGATGGTAAAAAACTGTAATGGAAGCTAAGTAGGGTGACAATGCTTCCATGCCACACCAGAACTGCTGAAGGCTGGACTTGAGAAATTTAGGTATTTGGGGGATTTTAAAAGAATAATGGTTTGTTTTCCTTTAAGAAGAGGGATTGACTGTGGCTTCCAAAGATACAAAACGAAAACCAAAGCCACTGCCATCAAGTGGATTCTGATGCATAAGCACCCTATAGGACAGAGTAGAACTAACCCATAGGGTTTCCACGGCTATAAATCGTTACAGAAGAAGCTCTGGTGGTTCACTAGTTAAGGCATTTGGCTGCTAACCAAAAGGTCCACAGTTTGAACTCACCAGCTGCTCAGCAGGAGAAAGATGAAGCACTCTTAAAACTCCGTGTGCATACTTACAAGTTGGCAGCAGAGATGTCTGCTAGTCAGTATGATGGCAGCAAGGCCAAGCTTCCAATAAGTCCCTCCTAAGGAGCCCTGGTAGCTGAGGAGCTCTGGTAGCTGAGGAGCTCTGGTTGTATAGGTTAAAGCATTCAGCTGCTAACCAAAAGGTCAGTGGTTTTGAGTCCACCAGCCACTCCATGGGAGAAAGATGAGGTAGTCTGCTTCCATAAAGATTATAGCCTTGGAAACCCTATGAGGCAGCTCTACTCTGTTATACAGGTTGCTGTGAATCGGAATTGAATAGACAGCAACAGGTTTAAGCTTGGCATGTGTCTCCTTCCTGAGGGAAAATGTAACATCTCACCATAGTTTCAGTGTCCAAAGATACCGGAATCCACAAGCTCTTTCGTTCATCTTTATCTGCTGGTATTTGGAGACCTCATTAGGGAGTAACCCAGTCTTTAGCTTTGTGTTTAAACTACTTTGTGATAGGAATTGGAAAACATCAACTCGGAAGAGCCCAGATGAAGAGAGGAGGGGTAGTTCTCTTCCTGTTTCTACCAGTGGCCACATCTGTGATCTCAGGGTTACCACTGATGAACCCTTACAATATCAGATTACTCATCTGTCAAAAAGAGAACAGAGTAGTGGAGTTTTAAAGCTACATAGTACGTATAATTTCAAACCTGAAACCTAATACTCTGTCTGTGGAATGGCCCTGGTTAGGTGATACAGAACTATAAAGAAACAGTGGCATACCTGTTTGGAAACAGCAGACTCCAGTGTTGGAGGCCGTTTAGAATTTATATGCAGGCTGCCTCCCCAAAGGAACCGATCTTTGATGCTCGTTTGATGTTTAAATGCAGTGATTCTGCTATGTCTTTAAATATTAGTGTCAGGGGACAAGACTATTTCTTATCAGAGAGAAACAATATAGGCCATTTAGATCATGTTTTTTTTCTTGATGTAGATACTTCTATTTTAAGGAATAGACCCTATGGTAAATGTGAGTTGGTTAGGAATTACATGGCAAATATGTGCTATTACTTGCACTTGTGACAGTAATCTTTGTTCACATTACGCTGGCCTGTTGAGCTCTGCATTTGTAGAGAACTTTATTCTAGAGCTGTCATACTAGGAAAGGATGACTGAGTCTATTTTAGTGTTTACAACAGGAAAGAAAAATTGGTCCAGTTGTAAGAGGGGGTTTTCTTTGCAGAGGAACTGGTACTCCTTACATACATTTTTCTCCCTGGAAAGCAGTGGCATCCCTGCACCAAAGCTGCTCTTCCAAGACCCATTAGCTTGTAAATCACTTGAGGTCCCCTCTGACCGCCTGCTAAGCATGATGAGAGCAGTTAGTGTGGCTCCTGCTTCAAGCATTCAGTTGCATTTATGAACGGATTTCTTGAAAGTCTCTTTGGCTGTGAAGCTTATGTGGAACATAAATAAATGGGGTGAAAATCACCAGAATTACATTGGGTACTTACAGACTTTAAGTTCCCATTTAACACTTCTTTTTGTAATGGTCATAGTGCTCAATAGTCATCAGCTGGTAAGTAATGGTTTCTCCCAGTTAAGAGTCTTCCCCCTGTTCCACATGTGTTTTTCATAGGCTTACCTTTCTGTGTGGACGTGGAGAGAGGGAATTGTCAGAATCCACATAGGTACAATCACTGGAGAGACTGCCTGTCAAAGGGCCCTCTTGGCCTTGGGTCAGATGGAAGGATGTTTGCAGACTGCTTTCTCATCTCCAACTTGGAGGCACATATTTTAACACTGCATTTTCATTTTAAGATGACAATTCCCTATCTTTCAGCAGA